GACACCCAGCAAGCCTCCATGGCAGAGTGGGAATTTGAACCTGGATATTACAGATCCTAGTTCAACACTTTAACATAATGCCTTGATAATCAAGTATGGCTGCGGTCACACGGAGCATTAGCCACGCTAGAGCGATGGAAGACAAGCGGAGTTTCCGGGCGCGATCTCACCGGCACATCTGGGAAGCGTAGCACTTCCGTGGCTCAACCGAGGCTTCCCGCCGAAAACACGCAGCAAAAAACTAGTACCTCAGAGGTACTAGTTTCCGGAAACTGCAGGGCAAGGGCAGATCGTGCAAAAAAGGTGTTTTTTTTCCCAAGCACCCAACGGAGCATGCGCAGTCGTGGTGTACACAAAATAAAAAACATCCAGTTTGCCACACCGCGCGCTTCTTTTTGCGCGTGGGATTGTCCTGCGATCAGTACCTCTCCCTTTCCACGGAACCTCCACAGTACCTCCACGGTACCTCCACGGGAGGTCTGATCACTTTACCGCGCGTTAGTTTGCCCCGAGGCAAACTGCCACACTCCCCCCTCCCGCAGTTTCCTGCCCGTGTGACCGGGGCCTATGTATTGCAGATGCTAGATGGACCATAGCTCTATTCTATTATCCTTCAGTTGGCAAGATGAATCTTAGTTGACATGCAGGTGGGTGAAGGTACAATACCTCTCAGTAAAGGAATGGCATGCATGTATAAAGGCACATGAGACTGAAAGCATAGTATATGCTGGTGACAAGTTTCCTCCATGTAATCCTAAGCAAATGAACTTCTGAAGTTATGCATATGCAAGATCGATGTAAATAAATTGTGTTATGAACAAGATGGAATCTACATAATGAAGGGATGGTACCTATGCGACACCAGCTTAAAATGTTATGCAATTAGATAATTAGTTGCATGCAATGAAAATCAATGAGACTTACTGCTTAATATAAGAGACACACCCAGAATTCCATTCTGAGCTGCATTTTTACTTCCTTTAGTGTCAGAAATAAATTGGAATTGAAAAATCATTTTCACTTTCTCAAAGTATAAATACAAAAAAGTAGGGTTGCCATCCCCCAATGGGGGCAGGGGTTCCCCCATTTTTGGAGCCCTCAATCCTCCACCAGCCAGCTGGCCAGAGGGGGGAGCCCTGCCCCCGAAGAGCCCTGTCACATCTGATGTGTCCAGTGTGATGACACAACCCAGAGATGTGCCTGGCACGATAACATCACTTTTGGGTAACGTCATCATGGTGCACGTGCAGGAAGATCCCAGGGAGCAGTCTGGAGCCCCCCACCAGCAGTTGGTAAGCACCTGGCAACCTCACAAAAAAGCAATCTAGTCTGTTTCTGAGCTGACATGATAAATATGACTATTTCATGCTAATAGGTTTGAAACTAATCAGGCCATCTTTAACCTTTTCTCCATCCTCCTGCCCACAATAACATACAAAAGAGCTGCCTATAATCCCATCCTCATGAGCCAGTTTTAAAATCATTTTGTAAACATGTTTAATGTCACTGTTAACATGTGAAATTTAATGTGTAGGAAATTAAATTATCACCTCACCACATGGCAGAATGCATGTCACTGTCTTCTCATCCAAAACTGAAGCAAGCTGTTGCAATCATGCAATTCAGAGGTGAGTTGAATGAGTATAAAAAAATGTGGTTCATTGCCACAATGTGAAAAAAATTGCATGTAACCCTTAGTCTATAACTAGCACTCAGTTTTGTACCAAACATCTGTCAAATATTCTTACTTATGTTTCTACAGTTAAGGATAATTGAGGAGCCAGCAAAATTCTAAATATCCAGTAAGGGAGTGCAGACTGCTAGAAATTAGTACCTAATACAAAGAAGCCAAACAAGGTAATTGAGTTTGGCAAGAGATCCATATTTCTGTCATTTTGCACCCATTAAGATGGGCTACATGTAACGGAAGTCTTCTAAAAACAAAATCCTAAATCTGTTAGTCATATAAAAACATTAAAATATGCCTTGATTAGATGTTTTAGGCATCTTCCTGTGCTGGACATATAAGCAAATGCAGAAACTGGGTATTTTGTATATATTTACTACACAGTGTGATTTCAGCATTTTAATCTCATTGTTAATGATAAAAATATTGCAATAGAATCATAATTTTCTAAGTGTTGAACTAGGATTTAGCAGCAAGGAATGAAGACAGCAAAATTGCTAATTTTCTCCATTATTTGTAAGGAATGCAACCCTTGTATTATGCAAGTGTTCATATAACTTTTACAACAGAATCGTTTTGAATACTAATAGTTTGCAAATTAGGTCCCCAGATCCTTTGGGGTGTGTATCCCATAATGTAGCTGTCCAGCTATTTGTCCCAAAAATGGTGACCAACCTAATGTGGGGAGAGAAGGATGACACAGACTATTGTGCTGGGAAGAATCAGCCACAACTTCATTGATTACAGCAAGTTCCTCAGATCTTGGTGCAGAATAGCTTGGGGACTATGGGTGTGACTGACAGTTCCACTGTCGGGGTAACTGAGGGAAGAGGGTTCATATTAGGGTGAATATTGCTATTCCTAGCCATCACCATCCTCCTGTCAGCTCCAAGGTTGGCTGTTGCACACCCCACCCCCTCAGAGCCCCTTAAGAGGGCTCCCTTTTTGTTCATACAGAGAGCCCACCCTGTACTACCTGCATTATGTTCCCCAGCCAATGTTTAAACATCACAAGAGGCAGGCATCTTAGCTTTCCTGGCTACTCCCAAACCAACAGAACCTGGTTCCTCAGATCTTGGTGCAGAATAGGCTGGGGACTATGGGTGCGACTGACAGTTCCACTGTTGGGGTAACTGAGGGAAGAAGGTTCATATTAGGGTGAATATTACTATTCCTAGCCATCACCATCCTCCTGTCAGCTCCAAGATTGGCTTTTGCGCACCCCACCCCCTCAGAGCCCCTTAAGAGCCCCTTTTTGTTCATACAGGGAGCCCACCCTATACTACCTGCATTATGTTCCCCAGTCAATGTTTAAACATCACAAGAGGCAGGCAGCTTAGCTTTCCTGGCTCCTCCCAAACCAACGGAACCTATAATACACGTACCAGTCCAGCTCTGAGATCCCCTAGTCATATGTCGTTCCCCACTGTGGAGTGAGATACTCCATCCAGTCTGTAAAGACTACCTTGCTTGTAGGAAAGTCTTGGGTGCTCAGTCACTCCACACCATGAGTTGCGGAATGTCCAGGGCCTCTTCAGCCTGCCTCTTTTAATCCAAGCCTAGGATCAGAGGGAAAACTGCAGAGCTGTTTTGATCTACTCTGCTTCCCTGCCCGCTCGTGGATTCATCTGCTGATGTTGCCAATCTTATTAATCAGTAACTTGGGTTTACACATTTGTGGAACATTTTTTTGGGGTGGTGGGTTAGTTTTGTTAGCATTATAAATGGCTTGGAGTCTGCATTGAGTGGAGAAAAGTGGGCCAAAGGTGTCTAAATAAATAAAAACTGGAACCTTCTACAATGAAGAGAAAGATGAGTTCCCTGAAATAAGAGATGCTGAAAACTATTGCAACATCTATTAATAGGATGATAAAGTGAATGCAAAAGATTGCTTTCTGCAATCATAACTCATTTCTGCCACCAGAATGAGGAGATGATTTTTGCCAACTGCCCTCATGTGCTGCAGTCAGAGCTACTCAAAATCATGCTCCTTGGGGATGGGACCTGCAGGCACAAGGTGGGGTCAAAGTGGGGATCTGGAGGAGAAACTGGCAAACTTCTTCCCATTCTACCAGCATAACAAATACCAGCAGAAAGTCAATCTTCTAAATAAGTACATTACATCGTTACTATATCAAATGTTATGGTTAATATTAGCACTTCCCATGAGCCAGTCTTCCCCCACTTAAATTCTTTCTTACAAGAACACATTTTATCAACAAAATAAAAGCCATAACATGTTAACATAATACAAAATTTATTACTCTTTTTAAAAAACATATTTTTCCTTTTAAAAAGCTGTATGAATTTAGCATACAACAATAATTTGTTCACACAAGCTGGTACAAGTGGACTAAATCAACACCGATTTCACTGTTTGTTTTATCATTTGGAAGCTACATTCCAGGTGAATTACCAAGCACTTCAGTCCTTCAGAAAAATGCATATTTCAATCCATGGTTGACCTAGTCAAATGCTGCTGGTGGTTTCAGCATACTCTCCAAAATGAATTAGCAGGCTCAAATGTTTAAATGAAGAATCAAAATCCACATGTTGATCTAATAAAAGTACTAGCCGTACAGCTACTGTCATGACGAAATGCCCCTGTATATACCCAGAGCTTATGGCTTGCTCTAGTAATATGAACCTATATCTCTGACATTTTCCCTTCAGGTTTAACATCTACTTCTTACATACAGTCATAACTTGATATACTATATACAACCAATACACACAGAGAGATTTTATATAAGTGATCAATTGTCTATGTGGGATAAAGGTTAATCTAAATAGCAGAGTTACTAACTTTCAACAAAATAAGGAGAAAAGGTGTGAATTAGATGTTTGTTCTCATGCTGCCTGCTGAAACTAGCACAGGTTAACCCACTGCACATACTTACTTGCTAGACCAAATCTTGCTACACATTGTCCAATTTTAACTAAGTTCTGGAAAGCAACAAGCATACTGTTTGAAAACACCATTTTGCATTAAATAAGTCATTTGTCTGAATTTTTCAACAGGCCAAGTTTTTTCAGAGCCTCCTTTCGGTCCTCATCTGTGGCCCCCTTAGGTGTGATTTTTACACTGACACAAGGGGGCCTGGGAAGCTTGGCAGGGTTTTGAAGTGGGTAAGATCTTCGCTTATCAGTTTTTTCTATCTCATAATTCTGCATTCTGTTCTCCTTCAGATCAGTGAAGTCACTCCCCATGCCAAGGGAAGCTGTACGTGGCCTGTTATTCCTGAGAAAACTTGGAGCTATTTTATCCAAAAAGGATGTTTTGCCAAGTGAGCTACTGTTTTTAATATTCTTATCCTCACTGCCAGAAGAGACGTAGCTGCTCAAGCCCACTCCTGATCGCTCCAGTGTGTTGGATTTAAAGTTTGTTTCTTTAACACTTGGAACATTGATCTCCATCGGGCAGAAGCCTTTCCCTCCAACTTGGCTATACATCTGCTCAGGTTTCTTATTCACAGCAATGTTATCGACATTTACATTCTCACTGCTGCTAGTCCTTGGAGTCTCTCTGGATTTTGAGAGAGCAGAGTTTTTGGCCCCATGATCATCTGGATCTTTTTCTTTATCTTGTGGGAGACCTAGTTTCTCAAGAGCCTCCCGCCTGGCTCTTTCCTGTTCTTTCTGAGGAGAATGCATCTTCTCTGTGGAAAAGTCACCTGTTGCTGCTCTGGGCCTGCCATTTGATGGAGAAAGCACTTTGAATTTGTGACTGGGCTCCCCAGGGAGTGAAATAACATTGCTTTTGCTGGTTTTGAGGATAATGTATGGGGGCAGTTTCCTGGGCTTTGGGGCAGTGGGAGGACCTTGCTTAAGGCTAGAATCCAGGGGAGATTCCTCCACTGTAGGTTTTTTATAATTGTCTTGAGCACTTTCAGTTATCTTCTTGTTAGGCTGAGGAGACAGAGGTTTTGGAGCAGCTTGTTTTCCAAATGTCAGCCCCATCTTTTCTGATGAAAGCTGCTGTTGGGCAGCTCTAGCCTCATAACCCTCTATGATGTCAATATTTCTCTTAATCTCAGAGTGACAAGGTGTCCCCTTTTCAAGATCCTTGCAGGAATCCTTGTTAAGAAGTGGTGGCTCCTGCCCTGTTGTGGAATGGCTTCTGCACTGATCCTGAAATGGTTCAGGGGGTGGAATGACTACAGACTCCAAATCGGGGGTCTTTATATGGGTACTCATACTGGGTTGGTCATTTGGTATGTCTGCAGTCCCAAGCTTATGTGACCTCCATGAATTCAGGTGCAACTGAGGACGTGTTTTTGGATCATCAGCATTAGAGCCTGCCATCTCTGTGAGGGAATGGTTGTTTGTTTGGTGGTCCTTTCTTACACCAACATTCCTTGGAAGGCTATGATAGCCTGGACTTGTGGTAACAGGAACAAAATCAGTAACTCTTTTTTTGCTCTTCTGTTCATTTTTTTGTTGTTTTCCAAGATTTTCATGGTCCAGTTCTATAACATTGAGAAGGAAAGGGAGAATAATAATGAGTAATGCTCCTTTCTGGGTTGCCTTCTCTTAAAATTCTGAACACCTCAGCTAGGGGAAAGAAGGTGGTTCTACCTAAGAGGAAAAAATTCAGCACAGGGAATGGGCTGTAGCATTTTGCTGTGGTGAAAGCACCACAAGTAAACAACACCTTGTGGAAAAATTTGGGAGGAGACCACAAAATGGAAGAAGAGATGAGTAATGACAATATTCCACTTCAGATGACAGATGAAAACAAGAAGTGCAGTACTGTACCTGAAGCTATTTTATTTAATGGCAATTATTTTACCTGAAAGCATCACCATTTGGCAAAATCAAGTGTTTAAGTTATTTGCCTTGACATGAAAGTAGCAACTTTTTCCATGTTCATACAAAATACTCAAAGCACCAAAGTGATATTACAAGATTCCTGGTTGGTAAACTAACATGAAAAAACATTAAGATAATCAAGCCTGTGGAAGTAACATGGAAACCTCTCCACCCCAGTTTTATGATAAGGATATATTCTTGTAAGGAAGGAAATCAATTTTTTTTAATTGGCTTTTGAAGCTCAAGTATGCTAAACAAACCTTAGTAATCAACATTGTATTTGTTATAATAAAAAGCAAACTTTGAGCTATTGGAAAAGCGGCCTACAAGTATGATCAATAAATACAAAACGCAGTTAGGAAACAGATTAGATTCCACTGCTACCTCAGTTTACTTTTCAGTTGAAACATTATGTTACAGAGAAGTTTACCTTTGGGATTGTCTCTCTGAGGCCATGTCCGTGGATGCCTGGAAGGCTCAGCAATCTCAGCCTCATCAGTGGAAACCCCACTGTCTGCTTCAGCATCTAGTGAATCTAGCGTTTCTTGAAGGAACAGGAGACATTCTTTCTCTTCCACAGATAGATAGTCATAGCCACTGTCACTCTAAATGAAAAATAAAAACCTGTTCAATATTGCTCAAAGAGGCGCAAAAGATTAAGAACTATGGATTCAATCTCCACCCCCACCCCCAAGTTTGTGCATGGAAACAAAATAGCTAGAAAGGGCAGTACAGCAGTAAATTAATGCTAAGTGTTTCCCTGTGCTATTAACATAGAAATGAGAGCTAATTTTTATAACCAAGATCAAGAAAAATTTCCACTGACTTCCTCTTGTCAAACAGACCATGAATTTGCCAGTTGTTAGACATCTACTGTTGTTAGAGACATGCATTTTAAACAGTACCGCAAGATTTTTTGGTTTAAAGCATTTGTAAATTCATTTGCAATGTGCCTTTGTAAATTCATTTACCAGCTTACAAAATTCACAAGGTTGTTTGAAAATACTAAAAAAGCAAACTGTGATATTCCAAGTAACTGAAATATAAAAAACACTTAAGAAAATATTTTGTATTTACAGCTGTAAATTTTAGTTATTCTAACACACTGATACAATACAGTGATGCATCAAAATGACAACACAGAAACCTAATGTACAAGTTTAACAGAAGAGCAGTGGTGCTGACCAGATGTAACATACATAGTGTTGCCAACCTCCAGCTGGTAGTAAGGAAACAAACAACCGTGATGTATTGTGCCAAAAAAAGTCTTCACAGACTCAAAAATTCTTTTTCAAAATTCAGTTTACTTGAAGCAATTCAAACGCCATCAACACCAACAAACCAAGCATATTATCTCATTTTGTGTATAACTTTATCAAAGCGGGTAGCATTGAAAGACCTATATACTATTAATCCATTTGGCAAACAATCTAGTCATATCTCCTAGTAACACTTATCAAATCCATTAGTGACAGCTGAATATTGGAATTGATGGTGTTTGAATTGCTTCAAGTAAACTGAATATTGAAAAAGAATCTTCAAGTTTGTGAAGACTTTTTTTGGCACAATACATCACGGTTGTTCATTTCCTTTCTACCTCCATCCCGTGATCTCTCTCTTTGGTTTGCAACCTCCAGTTGGTGGCCTCCTGAGACTACCACTGATCACTGGGCAATAGAGATCAGTTCACCTAGAGAAAATGGCCACTTTGGAAGGTTGACTTAATGGCACTGAAATCCCTCCCATCCCCAATTCCTGCCCTACTCAGGCCCCACCCCCTAAAATCTCTAGGTATTTCCCAACCCAAAACTGGCAACCCTATACATAACATCAGGTCATTGTTGTTTTCCAAATTGAAGATTTATTATAGGGAGCAGAATGTAAGGTTAAGATCATGTCATATAGGGACTACTCAGCATTTCCATATGAATTATATTAACAGGTTTCCTTTCACGTGCAACAGAATGAATTCAGAACTGTAATTTGTAGGAAGTACATCTATATATCTAATAGCAAAGGCGCCCCCTGCGTGCGGATATCTAAATTCACACATAGGAGACACCTGGGGGGCAGGGAGATTTTCCTGCACATCTGGGGCGATCCCCAGATGTGCAGAAAAATCTAATAACTGTAAAAAACTATAGGGGGGATACTGAAATTCCTCAAAAAGTAAAAGAGCGTCCCCTATGCATGCACAGGGAACGCTCTTGGAATGGCTTTGGCGGTGGCGGGGGGAGGGGTGAGAAGGCTTGGCCAACCAGCGAGGCCTTGCCGCCGCTGCTGCCACCAGCGGCGGGGGAGGAAGGAGAAGGTTTGGCCACCAGGGGGTGGAGGGAAGGAGAAATTTCGGCGGGCCAGGAAGGGGGAAAGCTCGGCAGGCCGGCAAAGCCTCGCTGACACCGTCAGGGGGAGGAGAAAGTTTGGCGGGCCGGCAAGGCCTTGTTGCTGGGGAGGGAGGGAGGGAAAGAAGGTGAAATTTAGGCGAGCTGGCAAGGCCTTGCCGCCACCGAGGGAGGAAAGTTCGGTGGGCCAGCAAGGCACCGCTGCCACCACCACTGCTGGGGGAGGGGGAAGCTTGGTGGGCCGAGGTCAGGCCTCACCGTGGGTGCCGAGGACTGGGGGACAGGGGAGAAGGCTCACCTGCGGCTGCTTCCTTCTCCCGTGGAGCGTCTCCTCCCCCCCGCGAGTATCGCAGGTCCCCCTTCTTGTCTATATATCTAATTCCAACAGGGGGTGGGTTGTGCCGATACTTATTTCCACCAACAGGAAGCTCACTCTCCCCCAACAGCTTTTCCTACATAGTCAGTATACTTCCTGTGTCTGCAGAAAAATCCAAGAAGTAAAACAATCCCTTCAGGGAGGGTTGAATCCCCCCCAGTACCTTTTGAAATGGCCTCTGCAGGGATCTAACTCCAGGCATCAACAACGTTCAGGGCAGGGGAGGCTTCTAACTGGCTCTGTCAGTAAAAGGGTGGGGGAAGGGCCCTTTCCTGGCCTCTTTTGGCCTCGGAGGGAGGGAGGGCGCCTTGGGGCCTGACCTGACTAGGGCTACCAGTGCCAGCCTGGGGAATCCCTAGAGGTTTTGAGGTGGACTGTAAGGAGGGCTGGGTTTGGGGAAGGGAGAGGCCTCAGCTGGGTATAATGCCACAGAGTCCACCCTCCAAAGCAGCCATTTTCTCCAGGGAGACAGAT